ATTTGTTATATTTTTATTATTCATTATTTTCACTTGACTCGCATAAATAATTTTGTTCGAAGAACATTTATATGCAGTTGTACTTCACAGCACTTCACTTGCAATTTGCAATTTCTAGTTTTTAACTATATTCAGTGTTGTAGCTGTAGAAAACTAAGGGTGGGTGATATACATTTTAAGGGTGTGTAGGAGATAACATTAATAAACTCTAAATAATATGAGTGGATTTTAAGGATGGAATAGTAGGTTAATAAAGATGAGTGGAGGGCCATGAAATTGGCTTTAGACTGGGTGGAAAACTCTGAGAAGCTCTGCCCACCCATAAGTACATCCCCCTTGATATCACAATAAATGCCATACTATTATTTATACAAGCTTAATAGTGAAATAAACAGTATCTATATCTGTACTTAGAATACCTTAACTTTGGAATGTAGATTTTTTTAGTTGATTTGTGGTATAGCAGTTCTTATGACATCAATTTTTAAAGAGCTCTGTTCCTTATTTTTATGTAATTACTGACATCTTAGTAGTTAGAAGTTTGTTGTTTTTCTATTATTTATCAAGCGTCAATATTGTAATTTCATAATTCACTTGTTTGGAATATGACAATAAAGTTTATCTTATCTTATCTTATGTTTTATAAATTTCATATATACTTATTTTCTATCTTGTATCATATAATAATAAAATTCTTGATGCATTCCTTATACTGTAACATGAATTTAATAACTTTAACTTTATAATGTTATATTATTAATTAGTATTTTCTATCTTGTTTTTATTAATGTTCTTTTTTCCCCCAATTCATTTCATACAATAAAATTGATACATTCCATTTCAAACATTACAATGACAGGCCATTAAATATTAGTGACTTCCCCACAAAACTAATTACTTTCAACACAATGTAAGATTTCCTGGTCAGAAATTATGGAATAATTTACCTTGATCAATTACTAATTCATATTCTAAACACAAACTTTTCACACCATGAAAAAAACACTTTCCAAGTATTAAATAATTATCTTACACTTTAATACCATCTCCAACAAATTGTCTTCTCATTTTTGAGTTTTTGTCCTTTGGTTTTTGTTTTTGTTTTTTTCCCCTGTGATTTTGTTTTGTCCCGTCTTGTCTGTATTCTGGTCTCATTTATTTTTTTATTGGCTGGCCCATCACAAGATTTTATTTCAAATATTCCCGGGCAATTGCCTTCTTCCTTTGCTTTTTCTTATTTCCCACTTAAAAAAAAAAAAAAATTTTCTCAAATGTGGCAAAGACAAGCCAAACCAGTCACTCGTCGCAAAAATCAATTTTGAGTTATTAATACAGTGTTAGAGAGTAAAATAATAGCTATAAAATGGTTAAAAAAATCATTCAAATCAGACATTTCCTTATGAAGTTACAAGCGTTTAAACTTACAACTGTTTAAAGAACAATATATGAGAAATCAGCCTTCAAAGTTTATGATTTCAGGCATTTCTCATGCAGAAACTATTTTCAAATCCTTAAAAAGTATTGTTTTAACATTGAAAATGGGGAAAATAACAGCATAGAATGATGTATAGATATATAAAGGTTCGTTTTGTGCAATAAAATAGATTTTTTAAAATTTGACATTCCAGCGTGTTTTTGCCATTTCCTTTGAAACACGATTTGCGACGAGTGACTGGTTTGGCTTGTCTTTGCCACAAATATGTTTCATATTTTGTATACATGAATTCAAATGAAAAAATAAATGTTTCAAATAAAAAAAAAAATGACTTAACCTCAATTTTGTGTTTTCAATTTACAATCAAGCAATGAAGTTTATAATAAAACTAAGTGCTTCACTGATTACATTAAGATAATGTGATATCATGCACATTTCAAAAAGACTAAGAGAAGCCATATTGATTCTGTATTTTATTCTTTGAACATTTTAAAAAATTAATCACATCCTATTCATCTTTACAGGATGGTGGTACTTATATAATAGAAAGTGCAATTAGTAAAGTTATGGAAGTTAGTGGGACAAATGAAGATAAGTTTAAGGTAAGCAACAGACCAAATCGATGAAGGGCATCACGTGACCTAACCTGGGTGGTGGATGTAAACAATGGACTTCGACAGCGGTGTTCTACATGGAGATTGCTATTGCGGCCATCCCTTGTTATTGCTTAAAAGCATCATAATTCTCAACCAAACTGATTGAAAATTGAAAGTGAGAATTTTGCATTAATAGTTTGCTAATGCTCTAAAGGATAATGGCCGCAAACATTAAGGTTTTTCGACAAATGTTATGCCAAGGGCCCTGCACATCTACCGCCTGTTTATAGGTATGCACGAGGGTTTTCAACCTGCGAGCTAAGCTACGATTTTAAGACTAGCTAAGTTTTACGAAGGATTTCATAAATTTAAAAGCATACAATAGGAGAACTCAGGATAAGTAAATAAACACTATCTTCAACAATTGTATTTCCTTCCCTTCATTGCCAATTATTTCTCAAGTTTTTTCTATACTCTCACACTGATCGCACTTAAATGTTTTCTTTGGTATACCTAAGTTATGTCACATGACCGGCTGTAAACAAACATCACCGAATCGGTCTATTATTAAAATGTTACTTTACAGATGCCAATCATGAATTTGTTATTACAGAAGTAGTTTACAATATCAAGAGATAATAGAAAATGTGTGGTAATTGGAAACACATGACATGATGATTAATGTTATGATGACAAGAATGATGAGGTTGTCAATTATTTATTAGAAGCGGCAACAGAAAAGATACATATCTTCTAAAAAATTTGGCACCAAACCTAAAATCTTAAAAAAAATGAAGCAACATTTCTTAATTGAACACTTTTCTCTGAACTCGCTCTCATTCTTTCATAATTCAAGTTCAGTTTCTTCTTATTGGTTATATACAGTAATAAATACAATATGAAATTTGCTTTCCTGGTACAATAGATAAAAATACGAATATACTGAATAAGATACAAAGCATATGAAAAAAGTAAATAGAGCAAAAAACTAACAAATCTATCGTTTAACAAATTCCACTAGGACTGAATGAGTTTTGTGTGTCTGTTTTTGCTAATGAGGTAACAATTGTGCCGGATCTGCTAAAACTTATGTAATTGTGAAGTGGGTGGTTATTATTATTATTATGATAGCAGCATCAATGATTTCTGTTAAGTTTTTACATTTAATTGCCTTCCTTTACCACAACTAGAATTATCACTCAAACCTAGTTAATAATGGTCTTCTATTAGTCTGTGGCCATAGTGTTCTTGATTATTAATCATTTGATTTGCATGTTTGTCTCTTTGTAATTTGTTGTATTATTGTGCTGTCAATAGAGGGCCTCTTCCACTCAGCTTTGTGCTATTCAATTCTCTCCTTTACCACAACTAGAATTATTGCGGCCATAGTGTTCTCGTTTATTGATCATTTGATTTTAATGGTTGTATTATTGTGATGTCAATAGAGGGCCTCTTTCAGTCAGCTTTGTGCTGGTTAAAGTCCTGTCCAGACTATCAAATTTGATTTCACAAAAACATGCGACATTCCTAAATTTTGTCATGATAACACCACACCATGACCATATATAGGCAAATCATGACTATATATGGGTGTACGAAAGTTTTAAGTCAAATAAAATTTGATGTTTTGGGCAGAGCTAAAGACCCCTTTTAATAATAATAATAATAATAATAATAATAATAACAATAATAATAATAATAATAATAATAATAATAACAATAACAATAACAATAACAATAACAATAACAATAATAATAATAGTTTTTTATTGTTCTTCATTCTAATTGAAAATTGGAAATTTGGGCTGGGCCCCAGGGTACACACGGCAGCGTCAGTTCAACACCACCCAACTTAACAGCAGGCAGGATCAGTACCTCTCAGCCAACTGCTCAACTCTAATATAAAAAGAAAATGTTGCTATTCAGTGAACGTATGATTAATAGTCAAACTTTTTTCTTTTTTTTTCAGCCTGTATCACTTCACCTTGGTGAAACAAAAGTTGCAATAATGTCACCTGAAAATGGTGACATCATTTTCCAACATTCTTACCCTGAAATCTCATCATGTGGTCGGCGACTCGATGCTGTCAACTACTTTGCTTATGTTGCTGGGTTAGTAGTCTTTTATTGTTTCTACAGTCGCGGATCCAAAATCCAGGGAAGCGCCATGTGGTTCAGACTATCAATTTAGTTAAAATCTTCCCTTTTGCTGGATAGGATAAAAAACGATTCCTTCCTTTTAACCTGAGTAATCTTGAATATAAATTGTGACACAAAGATCGAAATAGGTTGATCAAGACAAACATTTTATTCAGAGATTTTACTGTAGCACCTGTCATCTGAAACTTTTCCGTGTCAAAATTCTTGTCATTTGCAAGGTGAACAAACCTATAAACATAACACATAAAACATACAGATTTTCCCTACTTCAAGTGTTACTGAGAAAGTCGTAGCTAATAACATATGAAAAAGGAATGTCAGTAGTGTACGGTAATATATTACAAATTTCTGGCCATATTTCACAGTGTGTGTATATGTTGCTATGTCTGTGGAGAACTGTTTATTGGTTATCTCTGTTGGATACTGTTTCTGTGTTTGTCTATTTCTCCATCCGTGAGTAGGTGTATTTATAGGTGCCTCATAGGATTTGTATGATTTCGGAATGAGATTGTGTCTGATACAGAAATAGCATCATGGCTAACATTACTCCCCCAGGGAGTCGCGGAGGGTTGTAAATAGTGTGTGACTGTTTATGTATCCACTGACCAGGGATATAATTACCTAATGCCTTTTAAAGAGTAGTTTTCTACATATATGATTCATTGTTATTGACTGGGTTATCATCATCATCATTATTATCATCATAATTGTTGCCACTTCTATTGCTGTTTTATTACCATTATTGTTGTTTTAATAGTGGTAATTATTGATAAAAAATGTTGTTATTGTCACTTTGCAGATATTAGACGCTTTATACATATTTTAATTGATTGATTATTGTTAATATTCTAATATTATCTTTATGTTATCCTTGTCATTACTGTTATTCGCATTATCTATTACTTTAATGTTTTATATTATTAGAAATTATTTTTTGGCCTAGCCTGACATGTTATCGTACTGATTATTCAGTATTTTCCCATTTTTTATTCAGGTGGGAATTCAATCTACAAATTCCAGATAACTAGCCTTGAAGTTGTGGGTTTAAAAAAAAATTCAGTATTCAGTATGGATAACACATCAGATAGGGCAAGACATCGTTCCTATTAAATCTCCTGATGCAAATCAAATCTTCTTTGAATATTAATATTATTAATTATTATTCTTATTAATATTATTATTAAAATTGTTATATTACTAGTTGTCATGGTTTTGTTTTTCCTGTTCATGATTACCTTTACTGATTAATAAGGCTGGTAGACACACATTAATATTTTGAAGACAACACTCATTTTTAATACTTTCAGTTAATTTTATTTTACATATTCTTTGGAGACATCAAGTCTTCTTTATTAGTTTACTGCAACTAATTTGCCTCTAATCTTACAAAATCAAACATAATTACTAGCTAGGGCTGTAGAATCACATCATCTCATATTCTTATATTCTTAAAAAAAGCCTTCGTATAGAATTTTCAATGTACACCTTCATGACTCAATTGCAGTATACATTTTCTTGCCTTCTGAAAGCTCATGAATGGTGGTTTTGCAGTACAGGATTAAGCCTTCACATGTCCCCTTTGGAACCCTCAATGTCAGTGCAATTTTATTGCATTTAAATTGTAGGAAATTGATTCTAAAGCAAAATGTTATTAAAAGGGGAAGTATTTGCAGGTAACATAATCATATAAATTTAAAATCAATGCCTCTGGTGCCATAGGGATGAAAAAAATCTATCAACCTTGATTAATTATATAAATTGTGGAATAATATTATATAATATAGTATATGATGAGTGGCCAAAAGAGGTAATCTAGTTTTATCATACCTCATCTTATCAATTTTTTCCCTTGCTTCTTTCTTGTATCCTCTTGCCATTGAGAATCTTAAAGTGCATGTATGACTTTCATTCCATACAAACACGTTTCTCTTTTGTGGAGGCAATAATATTGTTGGCTGGTCCTCTTTGTTTGCATTTTTTATTTACTGTATACGGTTAAACTTGCCTAAGTCGACTTTGCGTAACTCGAATAATTTCTAAGTCGATTTTATTTCACATGCTAAATTGCTGTGTTTTCCATTAATTAACGATCTGTAAGTCGAATTTTATCTAATTCAAACAATTTTTAATGCCATTTTAGATTAGGCTTAAAATATAAGTATATTTATAAGTACTTGTAATAGAAACACAGTAATCTGCAACACATGCTCTAAAGTAACCCACCTTCAAAAGTTGTTTATTGACCCACTAATGTAATAGACTTAACCCAGTGAGGTTACCATTGGAAAGCCAAAACTTCATACACATTTTAAATAGGCCTACATTGGATTTTTCTCCTAAGCCCTGACCCTTGGATATTGTTGGACAACATGTGTGCCTGTGAAACACGCTTGTATTTCTAGCCCTGTTCTGATTGTTAAATTTCGATTGACACTCTGAGGTCTATCGGGAGTCAAATCAACATTTTACCTTGCAGGTGGTTTTAAAAATGATTGTTTTACAAAGTCTATTAATAATGAGACTGCCTATTGTAGGCAATCGTTTTGAGTACTGTATAATAAAAAGCAATCAACAATCTAAACATTTATAGTTATTTGTGTATGTTGTCAGCTCAAGAAGCATACTGGGTTATTATTTTTCAAAGCCCAATTTATGCCGAATAATAGTGATCCAGTACGCTATTAATAACCCATGTTACCCATCCTAAAATCAAAACAATGGAATAGGACCCAGGATTTTTATTAGAATTTTTATGGTATTTTTACTTTTTACTACCATTTTGGAAAGACAAATAGCCAAAGGTTTCTCCAAGAGGGGATTCATAATTTATTATGCTTAAGGGAGAAGAATCCTTAATGTTCTTCTTGATGTGGATCGTGCAACAATGTGTATAAATATGAAAATTGAATTCTTGCAGACAATAGCATCTCCATTTATAGTCTAATCAAGCTCAAGGACCTTGTATTTACTGGGAGACTAGTGGAGATATTTCTGCTATTACACATGCTGTAGTCCGACAAATGGCCAAGGGTTTCTTCGAGAGGGGATTCATAATTTATTATGTCTCAAGGAAAGAGAATCCTTAATGTTCTTGATGGGGGATACTAAATATGCAACATTGCGTATAAATATGAAAATTTAATTCTTGCAGACAATAGCATCTCCATTTATAGTCTAATCAAGCTCATGGCCCATGTATCTACTGCACATACATTACTGTAGTAACATAAAAAAATATAGAAAGGAATGAGAGCAAAAGTACTGTATGCTTGTTCTGAGCATAAATGAATGATACGCCCTTGTATCCAACTTTTTTAGAAACGAATGCCATTAATTTTGAATGCAGGCACATTTCGGGGCACAGAGGGCACAATTCTTTAGCAAGGATGGCAACTTCTGTGGTGTAAATAGGCGAGTGATTTATTTACAAACTTGAATGTGCTTTCTTTCCATTCATTACTCTCTGATAACAATCACATTTATTGTGGTCTCCAAAGCATTTATGGGCCAAATTACAGTAGTAAATTTAGTATTTCTGTGTAAAGAGATGAATTGTAGCTAGAAATATTTTGCCAGAGCCTTGCAGATAGTGGTGTGATCAATGCAAAAAGCAGTTGTCATCAGCATGCTATCAGCAGAGAGATCTAATACTCGCGTGCATAACATGCACTCGCATAACACAAAAACAGGAGTCGAGTAGATGCTAACTATATGGTAACCTACAGATTACCTCCATTATATCTGAGACACCAACTTGATAATTCTTACTGTCTGTACCGGTTTAAGTAGGACTTAAACCGGTGATCTTGCCTAATACCAAGCCGCTCATTTTCTTGCACGTTTTGTCATGATTTATGCAATCAAATGATTTGTGTATGTCATGAAGTAACAGTCAGTGTAAAAGCCCTTAGCAGTGTGTCTGTTTATATGATCTATTAGATATATTTTAAGAGAGATCAGTTAAATGATGGCTATGAAAACCTGACTAAAGGCAAGAAAAATGTTCAAAGCTTTCAAGATATGTGGCAAGTTGAAAATGAACGATTCGTTTTAGCTTTTTTTTTAGGTCACGGGTGAAATGCTAACGGGCCTCCTGGCTGTATTGCGTTTGCTTTCTTTTTATTAATTATCCGGACTCTCTCATTTTTCATATCTCAAGTAAAAAAAGTAAAGCATAAAAGTATAACATGGGTCATTAGGTTTATTACTTTATGATCCAAGCAGATGTGACATAAGTAACAGAACTCTTATTCTTACCAATTGAGCCATTTTGATTCTTAACAGAACTGGTGCTCTTTGGGTTGACTGCCACTCTAGTGTTTTTTAAATTCACTGACAGCAGATATTTAGGGTCACTGTGAGATCACCCTGAATTTTCAAAGTGATCAATAATTTAATTTTTTTTTTAAAGATTTTCCTTGGTAGCCAAAGTATAGTAGTGGCGGCACCAGCAGCGGGTCTTCAGGTGTTTACAAGACCCACCTGCCACTCTAGCATTGTTCAAACTCATTGGCAACACATTAGGGTGGAGGTAACCCCCCTCCCCCTGAATATTGAATGGGATCAACTTTTAGCTTTTCCTTGCATGTGACCAACATAGTGGTAATATCAGCAGTTAGTTCTGGGGCGGACTGCTATAAGCAGTCTTTAGACGGACTTAACGCTTAGCTGACTTTAATTGTGATATCGCTACTGGTCTATGATTAAAGACCATGCTATACCGCGGTCTAACAAGTTAGATGTCTTAAATTTTAAATCCTACTCGGAGGAGGCTTAAAATGGTCTTAAATCATTTTCATCATGGCGTTACAGGTAATAGACCTTGGGCTAGATCGTCAAAGCTTATGAATCGAACTACGAGTATTCCGCAAGCTTCTCATCGTCTATAAAAATCGGTCTAAGTTTATTTACGTTCATTTTAATAAATTATTCATGTTTTGAGCAAGCGTAACAGTGCCCTAAATTTTATGTTACCAAGGAGTTCTTGTTCGCGTTTTAATACTCAAAGCGGTCTAAGCAAAGACCGTTTTATAGCAATAAAAGCAGAGTGACTTTAGTAAGATGGTCCAAGTGATAAAGCCGGCTTTATTTGAGGAGTTAAGACCGTTTTATAGCAGTCCGCCACAGGGGGTAACAAAACCCTGTAGGTAGGAGAATCAGTCATTTTTGTGTTTCCTATTAGCACCATATTCAGGTATCTAGAGGTGGCTGTTCTTAACCATGGTGGAGCTAAGGTGGATGTTTACAATTTGTCAAAAACATTGGTCCCCCATATCAGCGAATATTTTTCCCCCTCCCACATCAGGAAATGTTACCCATATGTGCCTGTTTGGCAAATTTGTTATCTCATTCATAATCAGTATTTTTATTATTTTTCTTTAAATCATTTATTTTTACTTACTATTTGAAATACATATATTTTATATAAATGTATAAAGTACATTAGTGCTAAAACATTCTCCCACTATTAAAATATATGTTAAATATATTGGTTGGAAATATATTGTAGAGTATGTGTATATTTATGTCAATGTAGTGGTTAATGGTATGACCAGCTCTCCGTGCGTCACCTTATTACTCCAGTAATTGGATCGAACACTTGCAACACATACTTAGCTCCCCGGAGGAGACGTAATCCATAGTGCTGAAGCCAGTAATCATCGTATTAGCATTTAACATACACCCTCAGGTAGCCGTTAATACTGCTGGGTAGAGGGAAACAACATCAATATTGTGGTTTTTTTTGCCAAAAGACATTCGTAATTGGTTTGGTTTACAATACAGTGCAAATATTATTATGTTTTTTAAATTCTTTTTTTTTTTCTCTTCAGTGACACTTCTTGTACAATATCAAAGAATTTTATCTGCTACGTCTTCTATGCAAATGCTGAGGCTGAGGTAAGTGTGATGACTGCAATAGAGAGCTTTTGATTTGCAACAACAGAAAAGTCAAGCACTCACTACATTGTGCGAAATCGTACACCAAATCCAACTCCGCTTCTTGTGAACGCTAGATGATGCGACACCATCCACTGAATGTCGGTGGCAGTGTGCACAGATCGTCATTAAAAAAAAAATGTTTGCGTTGTGACGTGGTGTCCTCCCTAGAATCACGTCGGCCGACAACCTTCGGCCATAGTGAGTGTCTGGCTTATAGACTTACAATAGTACAATCACTTGTTTGTTGTCTGCAAATGCAAATATCATTCTCTGAATTTTTTAAAGATGAATTTACCGTAGTTACAATTCACGGTGTGCAGATTTAAAGGCATAGACTTATTCTGTATGCTATTTCCCACAGTTTCTTATCATTGATCTTTTGTTCTTTTAATACTGTTTATTTAGATTGCTTATTTCGGCAGACATGTACTTGCTTTGAACACGATTCTTTGTTGTTTTAGGACCGCCCCCATTATTTCAGTTGTATATTATAGTTGTTTCTTATCCCATTTGTACAGTCTCCTGATGCAGTCTCCTGATGAAGTCCACTGTGTGGACTAAAGCAGAGAATAAATTATATAGTTGTTAGTCTCAAAAGTGCTGCTGTTATTTACTTTATACAGATTTAAAGTAGGATGGTCATGGATGAGTGAATCTGAATTGACCTTTCCACTAAGCCCCGCCCCTTAGATATTGTTGCTAAGGTCCCACAAAACAAAGGTGTATAAAAAACATAAAGGTAAAGGTAAAGGTAGGAATATAACCCATAACAGTTGTGCTGAATTGCGTATGGGTGTGGTTCCGTGACTACCTAACAGCCGTAAAGAGGCGTTTCATGGTAGATACATGTTCACATCATTCTACAACGACAGGGGCTGAAACGAACCATAACATCGAAGTAACCCCCTTACTCTTCTGAAAGATGCAAAGGTGCAATATACGCAAACATGTGCATTTGTGGGACAATATGTGTATTTGAGAGATGCGCACATATTCCTTAAATTTGATTGATACTTCAGAAAGGTCTATTGGGTCACGTTATCGCACTATAGAAATATCCTATAATATCTATGGGTTGAGTGGTAAGCTCTTTTGCTTATAATCTGAAAGGTTGTGGAGTTAAGTCCAAAGCTGGTTTCACTAATTTTGTCCTTCTCCTTACATTATTTATGATTATTTGCCTAACATTTTAAATGAGTACCTAATATGAATTTTGAAATTTGTTATTTTGCATGAGTCATCATAAAAAAAAAACATCTGACTCATTATAGCTTGATTGATTTGTTGATTAGTAGATAGATTGGTTCAGTGTTCTTGTATAGATTGAGAACTGGGAATTAAATGCATACCTCTGGTTTTAAATTGGATATAATGATATTGATGATGACCAAGGAGAATGTTATTAGACAAGACTCTTTTAATTCCTTGTTTCGCGTACTTATGTTTTTTTAAAGTTTATCGGATGAGGGTGGAATAAAAATGAAAATAATATTTTGTTTTCTCATTTAGCAAATAGTTTTGCCAAAATCATCCAGATGGAAGAGAGAAAAAAAAATACAATTTTATTGGTGAATGTCAAATAGGATGGTTAACTGCTTCAAATTTATATAATTAAGAAGCATATACATATCTTATATTTGGAGATTTCAAGGCAACAATAAAAATAAAGGAAAACTTTTTTCCAAAATGTCCACTGTTACATAGTTGCGGGTGCGCTAATTGGCCAAAAATAAAATTTTGTTTTTATTCGAAATCATCAGTATTTGCAGTCGGCGGGTTCACTAAACAAGGTATAAAAAAAAGCAGCAGCAGTGTTTGTAAAGGACAGAGCCATTTTGTTATATTAAATTACTATTATTATTAGAGTAGTCATGATCATTTTGGATAAATGATGATGATTGATGATGATAATGATAATGATTCATTATGTTTATAATTATGATAATGATTTGATAATAGTTGATTATTGATTTTGAATGATTGTTAAATATTGTTGATGCTTATTAAATGGTGACAGTGATAGTTATTGATAATGTCAGTGATAAATTATTGATGATGATGTTTGATGGTGTTACTAGTGATGATTGATGATTATGATGATTATTGAAGATGATGATGGTTAATGATAGTTATGATGACTATAATAATGATGATGAATATGTTGATAATAGTTGATTATTGATATTTGATTTTGAATGATTGATAATTATTGATGATGATTAATGATGATGACAGTGAGAGTTATTGATGATGACTGTGATGATTAATGATGTTTGATGGTGTTTCTGATGATGATTGGTAATTACATTAATAACAGCGATTTTGAGGATGATGATGATGGTTGATGATAGTTATGATGATGATAATAGTGATGATGTTGATAATAATTGATTATTGATATTGGATTTTGATTGATTGATTGATGATGATGATTAATGATGATGACAGTGAGAGTTATTGATGACCGTGATGATTAATGATGTTTGATGGTGTTTCTGATGATGATTGGTAATTTACATTAATTACAGCGATTTTGAGGATAATGATGATGGTTGATGATAGTTATGATGTTGATAATAAATGATGTTGATAATAATTGATTATTGATATTGTGATTTTGATTAATTGATTGATAATGATGATAAATGATAATGACAGTGAGAGTTATTCATGATGACAGTGATAATTAATGATGAGGCTTGATGATTTTACTGATGATGATTAATGATTAATGTAATGTAATGTAGTTTGATTTTATTATACAGGAGTCTCAAAGCGCTTTGGACTAGCTTGTACAGTATGATTATGATGATTGTTGAGGACAATGTTGATAATAGTTGATAATAGTAATTTTTATGCAGACATTGTGATGATATTAATGATGATGAACAATGCGGTAATTGGCCAAGACTCAGTGATTGAGCATACTGTAAACTACTATTGCCAACTACCCCAGTAACCAGAATAGTTGTTTTCTATGTTTAAGTAGGTCGTGTAGACTGACCTCTATAGTTTTTGCACAATTAGACCACGGCAGATATAGCAGAAAAAAAGCTTGGAGAATAATGCTACATGTATTCTTGTACACATTCTGTACTATTATCCAGAAGACACATTTTAGAAAATGTGTATATAAATTAAGTTTAATTTTAATAGGACTTCATGTACTGTACTAATTGTCTCAATTTTTGCAAACCAATACAGTATGTGAAGATTTGTACACCAAGTTGAGATCAAGAAAGTGACATGTAGAACCTTGTGTAATATTACCCTGCCAGTTGTAACCATCTACATTATTATGATAGTTCTTATTTAAACCAAGGTACCTGTTTGAAGCATACCAGGGGTGGAGCCAGAGATGTCAAAAAAAGGGGGCCGGACATTTCTGTGTTCCAGACACCCGAAAATAATGTCAGAGGCATTTTGGGTGATCAATTTTTTCTTTTTTTTGTACTTTCCAAAAGGGGAGGGGGCCGAGGACGGCCTGGTGCCACTCTAAATCCCTTGCACACTACTTTTGGATCCAAGTGTGCTATATAAAGAGGTTAATTACCAGCCTACAGTAAAGCTTAATTTTTGTCCACACTCAAATTTTAATATTTGACAAATTCATTTTACCATATTTAGGTTTGATCATGATATCATATCATGCACATACTGTATATACGCAAATCATATTTGTCACAGAAAACAGTGTGGACAGACCATTAAAAAGTGAAACCAATTGTTATTTAAATTTTTATAGGATTTGAACCCAGTACATTGGGTTTAAATGTAGGCATCAGTCTTAACCACCATCATACAGCTCCACTAAAAAAAAAGCTGCTATAACAATCACTTCTTTCTGTAGATTTAAGAGTTGCTTTCCAATTCTGAAGCTTTGTCGACACTATAAATTTATGCGACAAATTTGTGTTATGTGCCTATATTATATGGCATGTTGAATTATATTACACCCAAATATGGACATATCACATTTTTTTTCTCTCATAAAATTTTAAAGTGTGGACAGAGCTTAGAGCCCTGTCCACACAATCAAATTTTATATTCATGACAAAAGCATGTTACATGTCTAAATATGGTCATGATGACATCACATCATGACCATGAACATATCACAATTTTTTTTGTCACATAAAATGTGATAAAGTGTGGACAGAGCGAGGTTCAGGGTTTAAATATTGTGAGGCACCAGGAATTGTTTTATGACTACAAACAACTCTATTTCCTTAAAGGCATAGGTACATACTGTCAATTTATGTGACAAATTTGTGTGATGTACCCATATATGGGCATGATGATGTCATATTAAACCCATATATGGGCATATCACAGTTTTTTGTGACATAAAATTTAATAGTGTGGACAAAGATTTCAAATCTTGTGAGACAGCAGGATTTTTTTTTGAAGACTAGAAACAACTCTATTTCCTAAAAGCTCTATAATAATGCACTGTTCAGTTATGTGACAAATGTGTGTGATGTACCCATATATGGGCTTGATGATGTCATATTACACCCAAATATGGACATTAGTCACATAAATTTTAATAGTGTTGACAGAGATTAAGGTTCAGGGTTCAAATCTTGTGATAGACTTCAGGATTTTTTTCTGATGACTAGTTAAACAACTCTATTTCCTAAAGCTCTATTCACTGTCAAGTTTATGTGACAAATGTGTTTGAATTTCCCATATTTGGGCATGATGATGTCATATCAAATCCCTATATGATCATGATGATGTCATATCATATCCAAATCACAGGTATTTTTCACATTAAATTTGATACTGTGGATATAGCTTAAGTCTAACAAGACCTTAGTGCATCACATTAATTCATATAAATGGCTAGATGCTGTATATCAGGTGACCTTCTATGTTTAGCTGGAAGGGTTAAAATATTATATATATAAAAAAAAATTAATATTGACAAGGTTGTAAACTCAGTTTGTTGCAAA